AACAAAATCTAAACCTAAATCTGACCCTAAACCCTGAACACTAACCGTAATCCTATCCTTTACTCTAACCAAAACATTACCTAAAACCAAACCCTAACCTAACCCTTGACCCTAACCCTAACCCTAAAACCTAGACCTAAATGTAAGCCTAAGCCTAACCCTAACCCAAACCCCTTAACCCTAACCCGTAACCCTAACCCTAACCCTAATGAAAGGGACATTGGTGACATCACTGGGGATAAGTGTCATCATAGGGGATTGGTGAAAACAAAGAGACAGTTGTGACATAACGGGGACAGCTGTGACATCATTAGGGACACAGGGACCACCCCTGGGACAGCAGTGACATCACAGGGGACAGTGGTAACACCCGTGAGGACAGCAGTGACATCGGTAAACACCAGTGACATCACAGGGACAATGGTGACATCACAGAGACAATGGTGACCTCATTGGGAACAGCAGTGACATCAGAGGGACAGTGGTGACATCATTGGGGACCAGTGATATGTCAGGACAGTGGTGCCTCCCACAGGACATGGGTGACAACCTGGGGACAGCAGTGACATCACAGGGGACAATGGTAACACCCGTGGGGACAGCAGTGACATCAATAAACACCAGTGACATCACAGGGACAGTCACAGGGACTTTGGTGACATCATTGGAGACAGTGACATCACAGGGGTCTGGTGGCATCACGGGGACAGAGGTGACATCACAGGGACAGGGGTTCCACCCCTGGGGATAGCGGTGCTGTCAAAGGGACAGTGGTGACATCACAGGGGTCTGGTGACATCACATGGACATCAGTGAAATCACTGGGGAACAGTGAAATTACAGGGGAGTGGTGAAAACAAAGGGACAGCAGCGATGACAGAGGGACATCGATGACATCACAAGGACAGGGATGAAATAACAGAGACAGCAGTGACATCACTGAGGACCAGTGACATCATGGGGGACTGGTGAAAACAAAGGGATAGTCATGATGTCACAGGGACATGGATGATGTCAAAGGTGTCTGGTGACATCACAGGGACATGGTGCCATCGCTGGGGACAGTGTTGACATCACAGAGACAGCAGTGACATCACTGAGGACCAGTAATGTCACAGGGGACTGTTGACAACAAAGGGACAGCCGTGATGTCACAGGGACATTGGTGACATCACAGGGGACATTGGTGACTTCACAGGGAGATGAGTGACATCACTGGGGATCAGTGACACCACAGGTGACTGTTGACAGCAAAAGGACAGCTGTGACTTCACAGGGACATCACTGGCATCGGTGACATGACGGGGACCAGGTGCCACAGTTCGGCACAGTGGTGACATCACAGAGACAGCAGGACATCATTAGGGACATTGTTGACATCACAGGGGACAGTGATGACACCACAGAGACACCAGTGACATTAACGGGGACATCTGTGACAGCATGGGGGACACTGGTGACTTCACAAGGCTGGGGTGACATCACAGAGAGACCAGGTTTGTCTGCTTCTTTTTGTGTCCTCAGGTCTACCCGGTTCTTTTTTTGCCCTCAGGTCTACCTGGTAGTTTTTGGCCCTCAGATCTACCTGCTTCTTAATGGCCCTCACGTCTTTCCGGATCATTTTGGCCTTCAGGTTCGTCTGGTTCTTTTTGGCCCTTGGGTCTGTCCGGTTCTTTTTGGTCCGCAGGTCTACCCGGTTCTTTTTGGCATTTTGGAACCTGGTGGAATAAGAGGAACCTCGAAGCATTTTGGGAACCTCAAGGAACAAAAGGAACCCCAAAATGTTTTGGAACCTCACAGAACACAAAGGAAATCGGGAGCAACAAAGGAACTCCCCAACTTTTGAGGGTTCTGGGGGTCACTCACCATGTTCAGTCTGCTGGTAGGTCTCCTGTGTTTTGGGGGGTCCCCCCTCTCTGGGGTTCTGCCTTTTCTGGGCTGCTGGAGATCCCAGGAATCCCAGGGGGTCCCCCCTTGATGCTGAAAAAGCCCCGGAATGATGAATTGCGCAGAGACCTCCCCCATTAGGTGACCTGAATCCCTCAAGCCTGCAAAGTCCTGGCTCTGGGCCTTCTGTATCCCACTGCAACATCTCATTTACCTGATTTATTCTTCAGCAGAGCAGGGAGAGCAAACAGGATAAGCTCTACCAGCTGAACCCTTGTTAACTTTTGGACCTTTTTTTTGGTGCCTTTTTGCCATCACCCTCTCAGAGCCCCCTGTTTCAGGGTCCGGGGGTCCCCAGTCCCCCCACACCCCTCTCTATTCACCCTCTCCACGCTCTCTGACAGCCGGGGGGTCCCTCAGCTCTGCTGTGACCCCTCTCTGCTCCCCCCACTCCGGGGTCCCTAAAAAAGGGTGTCATCGCGTCCCCCTCCCCCGCCGGGACCGGGCTGACCACGGAACACCAACCCCCACCGCGGGGGAGTCCCCGCATCCCCCCGCCCAATCCTGGGGTTCTGCCGGGAACCCACACCGGGATCCCCTTCCCCCCGTAAAAAAAAAAAAAAACAAACCTCCAGGAGTCCCCCTAAGGTCCTCCCGAGGGACATTTGCGGCTCAGCTTCGGAGCTCCAAACAACCCCCCCACCCCCGAAACCACCCCGGAGGCCCCTCCGCCAAAATATCTGAGAGGAGCTCTCCCCTCCCCCCGCGGCAACGTGAGGGATTGGGGGGCAAGATGCTCCTCCTCTCCCTCCTCCTCTTCCTCCTCTTCTTCCTCTTCCCGCCCCTTCTCCCGCTCCTCCTCCCGCCTTTCCTTTCCACGAGCGAGGAGCTCACGCGGTAAGTTTGGGTTTGGGGGGGAATGGATGGGAAAAAGGGAGAGGGGAAGGACAAAGGGGGGGGTTGGACCCCCAAAGTGAGCGAGAGAGGGGGTGGGACCCCCAAAGAGACCGACCGAGGGCGGGAGGGGAGGAAGCCGGGGTTGATGGGGGGCGGGGGGATGACGGGAAAAGGGTGGGAAAAGGAAATGAGGGGAGGTGGGAGAGCGGGAAAGGGGTTTCTGTTGGGGTCCCTTCGTGCCCACATCGCTTGATCCCCGGCCAGGGGGGACCCTCGGGACTGAGGTTTGTTGTCGATTCCCGGCGGGCCGAACAAAGGCCCCGGCCACGTGTCAGGAACTCTTTGAATGTCCCCAACACTCCCAGAGTTCCCCAATTCCCCCCCGCCCCCCGCCGCGGCTCCCCAGAGTGGGGATATCGGAGAGGGGGGGAACCCTGGGAGTGCTTTTTTGGGGTGAATCTTGGTGTTTTGGGGTGAATCTTGGGGCTGCCGGGTGGGGGGGCACAGTGCTGGGAAAGGGGAGTAGGAGGGGATCCCAGGGCCAAGGAAAGGGGAGGGCAGGGATCGGGAGAGGTGGAATGGGGGGTCCAGGGAGAGGGTCTGCACGGGGGTCACCAGTGTCAGGGAAAGGGAGGTCGTGGAGGGGTTGGGAGAACGTCCAGAAAACGGGGTTCAGGGGGTCCCCCGGTGTTCAAAAACAACCAAAAAGGGATTCAGGAGTCTGGAAAAGGCACGAATGGGGGTCCAGGGAGTACCAGCGTCAATGAAAGAGGGGTCTGGGGTCTGGGAGAGGCGGGATGGCCGGGAAAGGAGGTTGCGGGGGGGTATTAGTGCAGAATAAGGAGGTGTCAGGGGATCCAGCGGCCTCCAGTGTCAGGGAAAGGGGGCTCACTGGGTGGGGAGACCCGGGATGTGCAGGAAGGCAAGTTCAGGGGGTTCCTGGGTGTTGAGGAATGGAGGAGTTGGGGCCTGGGAAAGTCAGGAATGGGGGTGGAGGGTGTGCCAGGATCAAGGAAAAGGGAGGGTTTGGGGACTTGGAGAGGTGGGATGGCTGGGAAAGGATTGCAGGGGGTTCCTGGAGCTGAGGAAGGGGCTGAAAGAGAGTCCCAGTGCTGGAGAGGGGGTGCAGAGGGGTCCTGAGCCAGGTAAGTGGGGGCAGGGGGTCCTGGTCCCAGATAAGGGGGTGCAGGGGGGATCTGGTGCACAGGAATGGGGGGTTCAAGGGGTCCCTGGGGCACCCCAGGACCACCCTGCAGGATAAGCCAGGAGTGGGGAACTGGGGAGACCTCGGAGATTTGGGGGTCGGGGTGGTCCCAGGGTCAAAGGAAGGGAGAAACTGGGAGAGCTGTGGGAACTGGGAATGGGCTTCAGGGAGTCCTGGAGTCAAGGAAAAGGGGTACTTGGGCTGAGGTGACAGGGGATGGCCGGCCAGGAATGGGGGGCTGGGTGTCCCCAGGGTGAGGGAAACAGGGGAATGCAGGGACTGGGAGAGGTGGGATGGTGAGGAAAGTGGGGACAGGAGTGTCCTGGAGTCAAAGAAAGAGGGGTCTGGGGTCTGGCAAACCGGGACTGGCCAGGCAAGGGGGGACCCAGACCAGGAGGAGGGGGAAGAGGAGGAGGAACAGCCGGTGGGGGCTGCTGAGACCCCCAGAGCACAGAGAAGGGGCCCTCTGGGATTCCCGGGACCCAGAGCAACCTGGAGAGGGGGAGACCCCGGAGAGGTGGGACCCCTGAGACCCCCAGCACCCCAAAGCAAAGAGTCAGGGGAGAAGGGACCCCTGGGGCCTCCAAAACCCCCAACATCCCTGAGCAGGGGGACCCTGGAGGGGGGGAAAGTCCAGGACCCCCAGGAACTCAGAGAGGGCAGGAACTCTGGAGAGGGGAGTCCCCCAATTCACGTGGGACAGTCCAAATAGGAGGAACCCCCAGAACCCCAAAGTGGAGAGACCTGAGAGGGGGAACTCCTGGAAGGGTTTTTTTTGGTCTGAACCTTGGTGTTCTGGGGGAGGGGTTTTTTGGGGGGGCTTTTGGTGTTTTGGAGGTTTTTATGATCCCAGGATGTCCGGTGAGTTCTAGAGATGGACATGGTCAGGAGGAATCCCCAAGCCAACGTGCTCAACCCTTGTTTCCCCCCAGCAGGATTTGTCCTTCCCAAAGCTTGGGTGGATGGAGGAGGAACCTGCGAGGAAGACGAAGAAGCCGTGGGCCCCCAGGCAGGTGAGGAGGAAGTCAGTGCCCCTTTGACCCTGTCTTGTGGTGCCAGGGCAGGATTTGGGGGGATGTCCTTGGCCTTCCCTCTGGGCCGGAGGCAAATCCCCTGCCTGTCCTTCTTCCTTCCTGCCCCAGGCCCCGAGCTGAGGACAGAGAGCACGGAGGACAAATCCCCCCGGCAGAGCCTGGTGGGAGAGGCCGTTTTGAAGGGCTCCCTGGTGCAGGAAGGCAGCGGGGAGGAAAAGGCCCAGAGATGCCCCCGGAGGAGGGGCTGCAAAGCCAGCCCAGGGAGCTGTGAGGAGGAAAGACCCGTCCTGTGCCAGGAAGGCGGCCGGAGCTTGAGCTGGAGCTCCGAGCTGTTGGTCCCTGAGCAGCCTCCCAGCAGGGAGAAGCCCTTCAGGTGCTTGGAATGTGGGAAGAGCTTCAGGAAGAGCTCCAACCTCCTCAGCCACCAGCACATCCACACTGGGGCACGGCCCTACACGTGTGGAGAATGTGCAAAGAGGTTTCAGACCAGATCGCATCTCCTCAGGCATGAGCAGACACACACAGGGGAGAGGCCCTTCCGCTGCACCGACTGCGGGAAGGGCTTCAACCAGAACTCCCACCTCGTCACTCACCGGCGCATCCACACCGGACAGAGGCCCTACAAGTGTGGGGAGTGTGGGAAGAGCTTCAGCCAGAGCTCCAGCCTGATCCAACATCAGCTCATCCACACTGGGGAACGGCCCTACAAGTGCTTGCAATGTGGGAAGAGGTTTAGGGGCAGCTCAACTCTCCTCAGGCATGAGCAGACACACACAGGGGAGAGGCCTTTCCGCTGCACCGACTGCGGGAAGGGCTTCACCCGGAACTCCACCCTCATCACCCACCGGTGCATCCACACCGGGGAGAGACCCTACAAGTGTGGGGAGTGTGGGAAGAGCTTCACCCACAGCTCTACCTTGACCAGACACCAACGGACCCACCAGTAAGAGAAGCCCCACGAGTGCCCCGACTGCGGGACGAGCTTCGGCCACTGCTCCCACCCCGAATGACCCCCCTGATGGTGAGGCAACCCCTGGAGTCCAGTGACTGTCAGTCCGTCCCTTTCTACCAGAAAGGGCCAGTCCCCTTTGCCAGGGGCAGGTTCTGCCAACAGAGCCCTTCTTGGGGTGTGTGGAGATTCCTGCCTTGGCTGGGGACCCCCAAGGTCAGTGCTGGAGGTTGAGAGCAGAGATCTCCCCACGAGCATTGTTCTGGGGGAGTTCCATCCATCTCTAATTCATAATTCTTGCTTTGGTGCCAGTTTGAGTAGAATTGCTTCAACAATTGCTTTAGTGTAGAGCACTGTCCTATCTTATTCTCTATTAGTGGTAGTTTTAGTGTTTCTATTGTGCAGTAAATAATTCTGATGAAGATCTTTTCTCTGATCATTTGTTACCCTAAATAATTCATTTCTATCAATAGATATGATTTGCCACCCTTAAAACCTGGGGGACAAAAGTGGTTCAGTCCCACCTCTGTAATTCCTCTAAACTGAAAGTGTTGGCATAACCCAAGGCTGAGATTGGATCCAGCAGCCCCAGCACCCCACAGTCAGTTGGAAGCTCAGGGAGCCACCCCCTTTTCCCATCACCCCTCAGCCCAAAGGCCCCCATGGTACAGTCAGACTGTGTAGACCACCCCCCTTTTTCTACCCTTCTCCCTGTTCCTCCCACTTTTCCATGGTCTCCTGTTACAATCTGCTTAAATACTGCAGAAAGAACTTGAGATTCAAATATTCCCTTAAGCAAAACTAAAACTCACACAATTACACAATTTATCTGTTGATACCAAAAACTGATTTTTATTAATTGCTAAGAGATGCAAAGAAAAAGGAAAAATAGGAAAAGGTTGGAAACTGCTAAGATTATTTCTAGAAGCAGAAAAAAGATATCACTGAAAACTTCTTTTTCCCACTGAGCTGGCCTGTGTGTGGGGGAAGAGAAGCAGTTTCTGTCTTTTTTTTCTCTGTCTCTGCAGCTTTTGGATGTTGTCTCTGTAGCTGCAGGGGTCTGACAGCTTTAGTTCTCTGCAATGCACCATGTGTGGTTTCACCACTCACGCCCCTGTCCCAGGCTGTGCAGGGTCTCAGCTCAGCTGAAGCTTTGGGCCCTCAGAAATATGGTCAGCGTAGAAGGATAAGGTAGAACTCCCACATGTGGCACGGTGGTCTCAGCTCTCTCCAGGCCGGCACAGTTCCAGGCTCCGGTGGCAGGCAGGCAGCACGCGGTGGCGGAGAAAAGGTGAGGGGAGGTGGGCAGAGATTCTCGGCTACAGTCACCAGTTCTTCTCCCTTTCCTCTCCCTGATTTTCCAAAATTTGTCCTCAACTTTTCTAGTGTTCACAGGAGGTTGAACATGGTTTCTTGGCACGTAGCCAGTTCAGATGTTATGAGGAGATATGATAACCATAAACATATAACAGGATTTTTTGGCAGGAAAAGTGCCGTGGGAAGTCCTGGTGAGAACTTCTTTCAGAGAGCTGACAGAGAATGTTTGATAGAAAGATTTTGACAGGCAGAAACAATTTTTGGCATTTCTGTATTATCTGTGTGTTACAGATGGTTGTCATGGTAAGCGACACATCAATAAGAATGCTTAATGGTTGCCGTATTAACCGCCCCTAGCAATGTAAATTCACAATGGTTGCCATGGTAACCGAGATAACAATGAGACTGCATAATGGTTGCTGTGGTAGCTGACCATAACAATGAGAATAAATAATAGAGTCCATGGTAAGCGACATAACAATGGGAATTGCCATGGTGACCCAGGTAACAATGGGAATGCATAACGGTTGCCAGGGTAACAGAGGTAACAAAATGCATAATGGTTGCCATGGTGTAAGGGGGGGTAGTTTTGATTCAGGTGATCAATGGAGCATAGAGGGGTGAGAAAGTGATTATATTCACATATGAAACCAGCCAGAATATTGTAGAATGTAACTTTATGGCACAAGTTCACTGTAGGGCCCATTGTGCCTTTAGCAAAGTTAACTGGATGTCCCCCATTATCATATCTGAGTTCCTCCTTGGCTTGGCTCCACCCTGCAAGAGAGATACAAATCCCCTTGGAACACAATGGTACAGGTCGTCCATAGGGCTGAGGAAGGTGATGGAGAGGAAGATGATGTGGGCAGGGGTCGTTGGCCCCTTGCCCTACAGTGGGGCACGCCCAGACTGTTGCCATGAGGTGATGAACGGGCGCTGTTTGGCTGCCACTCAAGCACCACCTTCTGCTGCATCCTGGCCCTACGCAGTGTAATGTAGAGCTGATGGAATGGGGTGTCAGCACTGCTGGGGGGAGCAATGCTCATCTTTCCATCCACACTGTGCTGCTCCACGGGGACACTCGCCCAGCACGGGCACCGACCAGCCCTGCAGACCCTGGTAGGCCTGGGCTGTCTGTGCAGGTGAGCACAGTTTATTGATAGGAAGCAAGAGGCAAAGCAAACGTTTTATATCCTTTTTCTTGTATCCCTTTAATTCCCTTTTTACTAGCTAATGCTGTAACAGAGGCTGTTCGTGGTATTGTATGAATGCCAATAGATAAAGTAGGTTTTTTGTATTCTTTTTAAGCTTTTGATTCTCTTTGCTAATAGTTCTTTTTACTCTCACTGCAACAAAAGATATTTTGTAGTGTTTGAATGACTGTTGTATTTGTCTTTATTCCAGACGTATTCTTGTGAACCTGGTACACACAGTGATGTCATGGTTGTCCCTGTGATGTCACCAGTGTCACTGATGATGTCACAGGTGTCTCTGTGATGTCACCCTTGTCCTTGTGAAGTCACCGATGTCCCCAGTGATGTCACTGATGTCCATGTGTGGGGTGCTTAGCTGAAAAAAGACACAGTATGGACAAACCATATGAATTGGCCTCAGTTAGGCCTGCCCCTGACATAGCCAGAAGCCTCTTTGCAGGCAGTGGAAAGATACAGGAGCAGTGATAACAGACTGCAGGAATGTAAACAAAGAGAAACCTGGGACAAAAACGAGGAGGAGTTTTAGGAGAAAAACAACGTCTTCATATCGCGTGGACATCTGTGTGCACCCAATAGTGTGTCAGTAATGCATGCTCGGTTCGTGGGTTACAGCAAATAACCAATAGTTTGAAAGTGATCACGCCCCAGGGGGCAGTGAAAGTATATAAGAGATTGGGTTGTGTAAATAAAGTGGAACATTTGCGTAAATCATCCTGATTTGTGTGCAGTTTGTTCTGGAAGCTCCTCCACCAACATCCACGTTATATCACAACTGTGCCTCTGTTGTCACCAGTCTCCTGTGACATCACTTGTCCCCAGTGATGTCACCAATGTTTCTGTGATGTCACCTCTGTCCCCTGCGTTGTAACCCCGTCCCCTGTGATGTCACTGATAGCCCTGTGACATCACGGCTGTCCCTTTGTGGTCACCAGTCCCCTGTGACGTCACTGGTCCCCAATGATGTCACTGCTGTCCCTGTGATGTCACCAGTGTCACCGATGATGTCACTGGTGTCTCTGTGATGTCACCTCTGTCCTTGTGACATCACCGATGTCCCCAATGATGTCACTGATGTCCTTGGGAGATCATGGCTGCCCCTTTGTTGTCACCAGTCTTCTGTGATGTCACTGGTCCACAAGGATGTCAGTTCTGTCCCTGTCATGTCACCACTCTCCCTGTGATGTCACCACTGTCCCCTGTGATGTCACCAATGTCCCCCATGATATCACTGGTGTCTCTGTGTTGTTATCCCGGTCCCCTGTGATGTCACCGATGTCCCTGTGACATCACGGCTTTCCCTTTGTTGTCACCAGTCCCCAGTGATATTTCTGGTCCCCAGTGACGCCATTGCTATCTCTGCGATGTCACAACTGTCCCCAACGGTAGCACCATGTCCTCGTGATGTCAGCGATGTCCCTGTGATGTCACTGATGTCCCTCTGACATCACGACTTTCCCTTTGTTGGCAACAATAGCTTATGATTTCACAGATTCTACTGTGATGTCACCAATGTCCCCAATGATATAATTGGTGTCTCTGTGTTGTCACCTCCACCCCCCGTGATGTCACCAATGTGTCTGTGACATCACGGCTTTCCCATTGCTGTAAGCAGTCCCTTGTGATGTCACTGTTCTCCAGTGATGTCACTGCTGTCCCGATGATATCACCACCGTCCCCAGCAGTGCCATCATGTCCCTGTGGTGTCACTGATGTCCCCAGTGACGTTACCAGACCCCTGTGATGTCACGGATGGCTTTGTGCCATCACTGCTGTCCCTTTGTTCTCAACAGTCCCCTGTGATGTCACTGATCTCCAGTGATATCACTGACTTTCATGTGATGTCAAGCCTGTCCCTTCTGATGTCACTGATGTCCCTGACATTGTCACTGGTGTCACTGTGATGTCACCCCTGTCCTTGTGAAGTCCCTGAAGTCCGCTGTGATGTCACCAATGTCCCTGTGACATCACGGTTGTCCCTTTGTTGTCAACAGTCCCCTGTGATGTCACTGGTCCCCAGTGATGTCACCTTTGTGTCTGTGATGTCACCACTGTCCCCAGTGGTGGCACCCTGTCCCCGTGATGTCACCGATATCCCTGTGATCTCACTAGACCTCTGTGATGTCATCAATGTCCCTGTGACATCGCAGCTGTCCCTTTCTTGTTACCAGTCCCCTTGGATGTCACTGGTCCCCAATGATATCACCCATGTCTATGTGATGTCACCACTGTCCCCTGCGGTGTCACCAATGTCCAGTGATGTCATTGCTTTCTCTATAATGTCACCCTTGTCCTTGTGAAGTCACCAATATCCCTAGTGTTGTGACCGATGTCCCTGTGATGTCACCGGTGTCACTGATGATGTCACTGGTGTCTCTGTGATGTCACCCCTTGCCTTGTGAAGGTACTGATGTCCCTGTGACATCACGGCTTTCCCGTTGTTGTCACCAGTCCTCTGTTATGTCACTGGTTTCCAGTGATGTCACCACTGTCTTTGTGATGTCACCACTGTCCCCAGCGGTGGCTCCATGTCCCCATGATGTCACTGATTTCCCTGTGACATCAGGGCTTTCTGTTTTTGTCACCAGTCCCCTGTGATGTCACTGGTCCACAAAGATTTCTCCTCTGTCCCTGTGATGTCACCACTGTCCCCAATGATGTCACTGGTGTCTCTATGATGTCAACCCTGTCCCTGTGAATTTACTGATGTCCCAGTGACATCACAGCTCTCCCTTTGTTGTCAACATTCTCCTGTGATGTCACTGGTTCCCAGTAATGTCACTACTGTCACTGTGATTTCACCACTGTCCCCAACAGTGCCACCCTTTCCCTGTGATGTGACAGATGTCCCTGTGATGTCACCAGACCCCTGTGATGTCACCAGTGTCCCTGTGTCACCCCTGTCCCCAGAAGGGGCACCGTGTCCCAGTGATGTCACCAATGTCTCTGTGACATCACTGCTGTCCCTTTGTCTTTGTCAGTCCCCAGTGATGTTACTGTTCCCCAATGATGTAACCTCTGTCCCTGTGATGTCAACACTGCCCCCTTTGATGTCAGCAATGTCCCTGATGATGTCATCGGTGTCTCTGTAATGTCAACCCTGTCCTTGTGAAGACACCAATGTCCCTGTGACATCAGGGTTGTCCCTTTGTTGTCTGTAGTCTCCTGTGATGTCATTGGTCTCAAATAATGTCACTGGTGTCTCTGTGATGTCACCACTGTCCTTGTGAAGCCACCGATGTCCCCTGTGATGTCACAGATGTCCCCGTTGGTGTCACTGGTGTCTCTGTGGTGTCATCACTGTCCCCTGTGATGTCAACAATGTGTCCAATGATGTCCTGCTGTCCCTGTGGTGTCACCACTGTGCCCAGCGGTGGCACCTTGTCCCCGTGATGTCACCGATATCCTTGTGATATCACCAGACCCCTGTGATGTCACTGATGTCCCCGTCTCTTTATTGTCACCAGTCCCCTGTGATGTCACTGATCCCCAATGATGTCACTCATGTCCCAGTGATGTCACCTCTGTCTTCTGTGATGTCCCCATTGTCCTTGATGATATCACTGGTGTCACTGTGATGTCACCCCTGTCCTTGTGAAATCACGGATGTCCCCTGTGATGTCACTGGTACCCAGTGATGTCACTGATGTCTCTTTGATGTCAGCCATGTACTTGTCATGCCACTGGTGTCCCATGTGATGTCACCAATGTTCCTGTGACATCACAGTTGTATCTTTATTTTCGCCAATTGCCTGTGATGACACTCGTCCCCGGTGATGTCACCAATGTCCCTTTCATTAGGGTTAGCGTTAGGGTAAGGGTTAGGGTTTAGGGTTAGGGTTAGGGTTTAGGGTTTAGGTTTAGGTTTTAGGGTTAGGGTTGGGGTTAGGGGTTAGTGTTAGGATTTAGGGTTTAGGGTTAGGGTTATGGTTTAGGGCTTAGGGTTTGGGTTTGGGTTAGGGTTAAGGGTTAGGGTTAGGGGATTAGGGTTTAGGGTTAGGTTTAGGCTTACATTTAGGCTTAGGTTTTAGGGTTAGGGGTTAGGGGTTAGGGTTATGGTTAGGAGCAAGAGTTAACTTAGGGTTAGGTTTCAGGCAATGTTTGGGTTAGAGTAAGGGAAGGGTTACGGTTAGTGTTTAGGGTTTAGTATTAGGTTCAGGTTTAGATTCTTTTTTAAGTTTAGGTCTGTGGTTCAGTATGGACGAAGATACCTCCTAGACAAAGGTGCCTGCATACACAACTCTTGCTCTTTGTGTAGTGCCGAGCATGACACAACAACTGCACTGGAGAGACAGAGGCTCAGGGTTTTCTTTCCCAGGTGCAATTCCAGTCATTCACCTGTAGGGACACTGGGCTGAAACTGCTGTCTGACAGCCAAAATTCCATAAGGACGGAGAAAACTCCCTGACCAAAGGTGCTCACACAGAAAGCTCTTCCTTTTTATCCAGTGCTCAGAGAGGCACCCCAACTGCACTGGGTAGTGTAAAGCTTAGGGTTAGGTTTAAAGTTAGGTTTAGGTTAGGGTTAAGGCTTAGGTAACATTTGGGTTAGAGAAAGGGATCAGGTTAAGGTTAGGATTAAGTTAGCGTTAGGGTTATTGTTTAGAGAATGTTTAGGTTAGAGTAATGGATATGGTTATGGTTATGGGTTAGGGTTTAAGTTTAGGTTTAGATTTTTTTTTTAATATTAGATCTAGGGTTCAGTACTGTCTAAGATACCTCCCAGTCCAAAGGTGCACGCACAGAAAGCTCTTGCTCTTTGTGTAGTGCCGAGAGTGGTGCACAAATTGCACTTGATAGATGGTGAGTCACTGTTAGAGTTCATGTGAGGTGCTGGGATTTAGGGTTAAGGTTATAGATGGGGTTAAGGTTAGGGTTAGGATTAGGTTAGGGTTAGGGTTTAGGTAATATTTGGGTTAGAGTAAGGGATAGTTTTATGGTTAGGGGTTAGGGTTTAGTGTTAGGTTTAGGTTTAGAGTTTTTTTAAGTTTAGGTCTAGGGTTCAGTACAGATGAAGATACCTCCCAGACAAAGGTGCCTGCACACAAAGCTCTTACTCTTTGTGCAGTGCCGAGAGTGGCGCAGCAACTGCACTTGAGAGACGCAGACTCAGGGCTTTCTTTCCTGGGTGGAAGGGCAGTCGTTCTCTTGTAGGAGTGCTGGGCTGAAATGGCCATCCCACAGTGGGACACATTTGCTTGTTCTAACGAGAAAAGGAACTGAACATTGAATGTTTTCCTTCCCCTCCTTCCTCACTTTGTTGGAGGGATGTTGAATGGGCAGGTTGACCTTGCCTTGGGTGATTGAACAACACAAAAAAAGTGGTCAGGGACTCAGATTCCAGACTGATGGGCCTCAAAGTCTGTAAGAAGGGATGAGGAGGTTTTTTTTTTGTTTTCTCTTCTTTTCTTTTCCCTCTCCTGGAAAACAGGACACTTCATTGTTGCCTGAACTGAGACAAGGTGTGGGGTGGAAAATCTCCAAGGTTTCTTCTCAGCCTGGCCACTTGGCTCTAGTGTACCTGCACCCTGTTTTCTGCCTCTAGCCCAGACCTGCTCAGACTTCATCAGAGAGGAACTGTTTGGAAAGGAGGTCACCCTATTTTCCCTTTTCTGCTCCCATGTTTTTGGCAGTCTTTTTTTTTTTTTTTTTTTTTTTTTTTAAATATATAAACACATCAAGGAAAAGGGGAA